ATTTAAAAAAAAAACAACAGTAAAATCAACAAAAATTTGTAAAAAATGATTTTCATCGTTACAGTGAAAGTTTAAACAGTTTATTAAAAACTTATTTTAGGATTAGTATTACCCTGACAGATTTAAAGTCCACAAATAAAAAATTGTATAAAGCTTTAACTATTATGACGTTTTTTTAATTTATTGATTAAAAATCACTAAATCAAGTATTATTTTTTAGGTTTATGTTTGTTACTAAGTATTTTTTTAATTGCGCTGGAACTATTTTTACAACCCTTTGATTTTGTTACTGATTAGATAAGGAAAACTTTAATGTTCCAATCAAGGAAACTTTCGACTATTTTGTTATATCATTACAATAACATGCTTGGAGTAACTTATAAGATAAGTTTATATTGTTATTTTGCATTTTATATTTATATTTTATATTTCCATCAAATTAAATACAAAAAACGGTATAACCTATAGCACCATAGTTTACCCAGCGCAATCAATATAGTGTGAACAAAAAATTTGATTACTGAAAAAAAATGACGCAAAAACCTTTCAATCAATGGTGCAAACACATTTTTTGAGGAATAACTTTCAAAATGTGTCAAAACGTTTTACTAAAAAAATGCAAAACGTAGCCATAATTCATTTTTTTTTTCAAAAATAAGGCGCTGTTTCCAATTTCGGCAATTCTCCCATATATATATATATATATATATATATATATATATATATATATATATATATATATATATATATATATATATATATATATATATATATATATATATATATATATATATATATATTATATATTACATTACTTTATTAAGAATGGAGTAAAAGTAACTACTAAGGTTACTTTTACTCCATTGCTCTACAGTAGAAAAAACATCTCAATTCATCCTTGCAACAAAGAAGCCACTACTAAGTATTAAAGACCGTCTCAAACCAAGAAAATGGTGCAATGAGAGAGCTGCGTGGACTGTAGAGCGATGGAGTAAAAGTAACTTATATATATATATATATATATATATATATATATATATATATATATATATATATAAATATATATATATATATTTATATATATATATATATATATATATATATATATATATATATATATATATATATATATATATATATATATATATATATATATATATATATATATATATATATATATATATATATATATATATATATATATATATATATATATATATAGTTACTTTTACTCTATTGCTCTACAGTTTATTGTTGCAAGGTATGAATTAAGATGTTTTTTCTTCATCAGCTTGCTAATTGTTCATCTGCTAACTTGATGTGTACACAACGCTGTATTCAGGTCTGATGTAATTTCGGCTATGCTTATGTTCGGGTTGCGTCTAGCGAGCATAATTGTTTTATTTTCGTCCATTTCTGACATTTTTTTGGGACGACCAGAGCAACTGTAGCCTTTGACTGTTCCAAACTCATTATAGTTTTTGAGCATTGTTCTAATGCTGCATTCACTGATTTTAAGTTGGCGTCCAGTTTCTCTATTGCTGAGACCACTTTTGTGCAAACCAACAACTTGCCATTTTGTTTCAATTGATATGCTCTTTAAACCCATATTTTTGTTAGCGCAATTTAAAAGTTTTAACTAACTGTATTTTCAAATGATATTTCCGACACTTCAATTTATGGTTCTTATTTATTTTTTTTGACTATTATTATTCTTTTAATAATAGTCAATAAAAAAAACTAATTTTGAATGTAGACATCATGAATAAGAGTATGTAAATTATTACTTTATAAACATCAGTAAATACAAACTTCTTTCGATTCTAAAATTTGTTTTTTAAAAAAAAAATTTTGTTTTAAAAATAAGATATAAACAAAATCAAACGAAAAGCTTTTAAGCTGAAGACGTTGGTCACAAAAATCCAGGAAAAATTTCTTTAAAAAAAACAAATTTAGTATCGAGAGAAATTCGTATTTATTGATGTTTATAATAGAGATTCATGGTTTTAGAGTTCTAAAAAAAATTTTTTTTTTTTTAAATTCTAATATGAAAAATAAAAACTAGTAATAACAAAAGTAAAAAATTGATTTTATTGTTAGCATTCCAAAGTAATGATTTTTTAAAAATAATAAGTAACAAAAACGCTTTATGTCGTTTATTATATAGATTACATATAACAGAGCTAGTATAACAATTTAGATCCATAAAGTACCCCTTGCATATGTACGCATTATATATGCAAACCCTTTCCCTAACGCATAATTCTTCAAAACATTAAAAAAAAAACTTTTTGTTAACTTGTTATTTCCTGATATAGTCAAATCGAAACAGCGAGGTTGCGTATGTACTCGCTGTCTTTACCTCCTCCCCCTTATCCTTGTACGCATTCATAAGTTTTTGGGAGTTATTGTTTCATTCGGGAGTTATCGCCCCTCCACCCATACCTATGTACGTTTTTGAGTAATCTCCCCTCCCCCATACCCAAGTTAGCGGCGTTTGGCAGCCAAGCCACATTTTTGGACATATCATCCAAAGACAAATAGAATGTTATGTGGTTTTTAATAATTTCTCAAAAATAATAATATATAATGTTAATTCAGAGAAGATATGTTATTCAAATAATTGGTAATAGATAATATGTAATTGCAAAATTCTTATATTTTATATTAAACCAATATTTTCTTTTCATTTCATAAAAGGGTGGGATCTCCACCCTAAGTTCTGTGCGCACGGGATATTCCAGAAATTAACTTTCTTTACTAAAATTGAATCTTACGTCTTCGATGTAATATAGTTTTTTAAAGATATATAGCAAATTTGAAAATCGGTTTTAGAATTGTGAAATCGTGAATGATAAATTTTACTTAAAATAAAAAGCTACATTTTTATTGAAAATTGAATTTTCTCAAATTCTCATTTTTTATATTCGAATTTTACTATTATGCGCGGGGAAGTGAATGGATCGTAGGCTCTAAGTCGATATACAAGTTTGAAAATTAATTCGAAATAAATAGGAATCTAACCTCGGGAACGACTAGTTGTAGAATTCAACAACTTTATTTATTTTTCTAAATAGTTATTAAATAAATTATTAAAATACGTTTCCACGACATGTAAATGTGACTATCATCCTAATGTTAAAATCTAACTAATGTTAAAACCTTACTTAACCATATCTAAAATTAAAATGTATTTATAAAATCAAATAAAAATATTGATCAAATGTTAATCATAGTTCTTCATAGTTTTGAATGCAGAGTTTTCTTTATTAGAGATGTAATATAAACGTTTAAACAGCATAAATTTAAAATTTATGAACAACACATTCTTTTACATAGAAAACCATTAGATATCATGGATTGAAAATTAAAAGGTGGCATGAATTAAATTACCTTATTATCTCCGGAATATATATTTTCTGGAGAAAAAAAGGTAATTTGATTCAATTTTTTTTTCGATTTAGTTTTTGATTTAATTTAATTCGAGATTTTTTGATCCATGGTATACGATGGATCAAAAAACCTTGAAACCAATAAACTGGAAAAAAAAGTATATAGCTTATGAGTTTTTTCTATTTGATTTGTTATTTCGTAAAATATTTCTGTTATCTTGTTTAAAAAAAGTTTCCGCAATTAAAAATTTGCCTAATAAATGATATAAATATAGTTAAATAAACAAATAATATCTTGATGATATTTTTAAATATAAATTTCAGATGCATTAAGAATGCTTTTAACGAATACACATCTAATATATCTTTATTTTTTTTTTACAAAATATTGAACTTTATTCAATTTATTTTTTTTTAAACTATATTAAATTTAAACTATAACTATATTTCTGTTATCTTGTTTAAAAAAAAGTTTTTGCAATAAAAAGTTTAAATATTATCGATAAAAAAAAATTTGCCTAAAAATATCTTGATGATATATATGATATATATATATATATATATATATATATATACATATATATATATACATATACATATATATATATATATATATATATATATATATATATATATATATATATATATATATATATATATATATATATATATATATATATATACATACACATAATGTTGAATTTTATTTAATTTATTTTCGTTTAAACTATACATAATTAAATCAGTTTTTATAAAAAATAACAGCTATTACAAAAGTAAATTTGAAATAATGTAATGAAATAAAATTAGGGAATAAAATACACTGGATTTCGTTGATTTAATATGGCTAAAACAAGGAGAATGGCCATTATATTGGGGTAGCAACTAAGTAATTGCGGATTTCACTCATAGATGGCTTTAGTTGAATTTTTAGGTTTGCTGACGTAATCGGATTGTCAAACACATTCTGTTATTTGATAGTTGGTACTTCAACTGTCAATCAGTAAAAAAATGTTTTTGATCGGTTATGTAGTTTTTGTTTGGTGTCTGTTGAAAAATGGAAAATCAAAAAGAACATTTTTGTCATATTTTACTTTTTATTTCTGGAAAGGAAAAAACGCATGTCAAGGTCACAAAAAGTTATGTGCTGTTTATGGTGACGAAGCTTTAAAAGAACGGCAGTGTTAATATTGATTTGCCAAATTTCGTTCTGGTGATTTTTCACTTAAAGATGAAAAATGCTCTGGTGGTCCAGTTTAAGTCGATGACGACCCAATCAAAGCAATAATCGATTCGGATCGTCACAGTACAACACGTGAGATTGTAGAGTAGCTTCATGTATCACATACATCCATTGAAAATTGCTTAAAACAACTTTGCTAAGTACGAAAACTCGATATATGGGTTCCTCATGAACTGTAAGAAAATCATTTAACACAACGTATTAACATCTGCGATTTGTTAAAAGAAACGTAATGAAAATGATCCATTCTTAAAACGATTGATAACTGGTGATGAAAAATAGGAAAACTTTAAAGTCCAATATCTAGAGAACCAATGAATATTTTTTAAAAACCAACTATTCAACAATTAATAACAATTAACAAATTAAATTATGCTGAAGAAATTTTATTTCATAAAGAAATTGTGAACTTCGTACAATTCATGAACAAATATATTAAAAAAATTAAAAGATAAATATACAATATAAACTATAAATATGCAATTAACATTTAAATATGCGTAATCAAATAAAAGTATAACTTCTTAATTCAGTAATAAAAATGCAATACAAACTTCCAACAAAAACCTTTTCGTATCATGCTAGGTTGCCTAAATAAAAAAAGGTAAAAAAATATATATGTGATGTATAAATATATATATATATATATATATATATATATATATATATATATATATATATATATATATATATATATATATATATATATATATATGTATTTATATATATATATATATATATATACACATTATGTTAACATCATATATACATATATTCTGTTTTCGACAGATGGCAGTCAAATAGTATAGAAGTACAATAGCACTTAAATTTATTATTACTGCCTTTCAAAAATATATTCAAGTATTATCTTTAATCATAATATCCTATAAGAAAAGTGCTTCCACTACTGAAAGAAACAAGACAATCTGAATGATAAAAATACAATCCAGTGAATATGAAGTTTTTGACACCAAAATAAAAGATGGCGAATGTTTCTGTAGTTAGAACAAAAGATTGTATCATCTTCAGATTAAAATCAAAGGACTAGTTGGATACATACAACATGGAAAGCTGCTAGTTCAAAAACTACACACCCATCCAAAAGAATAAAAATGTTCTTTAAGTCTACTTCAACAACAGTAACAGCAACAGGGACAACATCAATGACCTAATCCGAATCTGAAGAAGGATATTAAGAGTCTGAAGATTCAGAAGAACAGCCCACATGTACAGCAAAAATGGGATTAAATATTCACTGATAATCCAATTAGATTTATTGTAGGCATACATCACTGAGCTAAGGTTCACTGATAATCCTAAGCTTCTTCTGATTTTTCAAACTACAAGTAAAAAAAGAAAGTTCACCTTTTGTATTTTGCATTCTTTATATCTCATTTTTACTTTTCTCATAATGGATGTCATTTTAAAGTTCAGCTTATAGCTCAAGAGTACAGTAGTTCAATTTCAGTTGTCAACGTCAATTAATCTTTAATTCAACAGCATGTTTAAAATAAAAAGAAACTAACCTGTGTGTTAAAATTCAGCACAAATGTAAACTAATTTATAACGTGTCAAAGTTGAATAGAAATTGCACATGCAGATACCAAATAAGTTATGTTGAAAAACGGGTTAAACCAGATCAGTTCCAGGATCATAACAATCACCTTGCTATTGGTAACATGTAACCCAGTACTACCTGCCCCATAAATATAAACTTGGTACTCTCAAAATCACTGGGACAGTATAGTAATAAAAGATTTTAAATATATTTTCAAGTCAGTAATAATGAGATATTCTTTACAATATATAAATATGTTTACTCCATTACTGTCAACTCGGTGATTTCCTTATAATAATGGTGTTGACAAAGACATAAAGGAGCAACAGCATAAAGGAAACAATGACAAAACAAATCAATTGATTTTAACAATGCAACAATGAAATATGTTGCAGCGTATATACGCTCTTTTCTTTTACTTTTAAGCAATTGTAAGTAATCTTTTAAATTGTAAGTATTTTAGTGTTAGGATTTCATTTATTGTTTGGTTTATATTTATATACATTTGGCCTTTAAAATAAATGCTTTACAGTTTGAAACATATTGTAATAATAATAATAAATAAGATTTTGTTTTCAAATAAGAATTATAATACTCCAACAGGAAATATATCTAGGAATACAAATACACAACACCACGTGCTGAAATTCAGAAAGCATTTCAGGACAGACAATTAGCAAAAAATGCAGAAACAATTTGTAAAAATAAAAGCTAACATTGGCATGTGTCATGAACAGAAGTGCATGAAAGTTATCTCAGAACTATCAGAAAGAAAAACAAAATATATTGTTCGTTGTTGTTGGCAAGACCAGAAAACAGAATCCAGAGTTATGAAAAAGAAGATTGAAACACGTTCATCAGTCACCAGAAGGTGAGCAACAGCAATTGCCATTGTGGTAATGGATTGCTTGATGCTGAAACAAAGGATTTGACCAAGGCATTTCTTACACATGATGACAATTCTAGAATAACTACAGAAAAAAAACAGCCTGTTACAAAAAATAAAAATAAAAGACAAAGGTGGCTACTATTCAATTCATTGATAAACCTTTATGAAAAATTCAACGGGGAATATACAAGAAACAGTATTTCATATACAGCATTTACTCATTACCGCCCATTTTTGTCCACAAACCGTCTGCTTAAGATAGAGACACATGTGGCCGGTTTTACGCAACTAAATATTATTTCCATGGTCAATTATCGAGTGCGAATGCTCCCACTTCCCGACCAAGCCTGGAGTGGTAAACAAATGTAAACTTAACATAAATAAAAAATAAAAAAACTATAAACTGAAAAGAGAAATAAAAATTAAAATACAAAACTAAACTAAAAAAATTAAAATCTTAACAAATAATAAATAAATAAAAAATAAACCAGAACAATAAAAGCATAAAATTAATGTCTGAATTTTAATTTAAAAGTGTTTCACTTCATAGAATTTAGAAAAGACCGAAGTTTCAAAGTTATTTAATTCAAGCTTAATTATTTCAAAACTTATTTGAAAATTTGAAACTTTGATATTTTCTAATGTCTACTTCGCAAATAAAACACTCAAAATGCTGATCAAACAGTCATGCATCTTAAAAGTTACAATAAACATAAGCACAACATCAATGTTTGATATAGGAAAACTTATAGCTTTAAATTTTTAAATTGAAACACTTTCAAATTAATTTGGTTTACTACTAATAAGAACGCTTTTAAATTAAGAAATATTATTTTTAAACTTTTATTTTCTCTGGTTAATCATTTATTTACTTTTTTGTTAAGTTTATTTCTATTTTCAGTTTCTGATTTATTTATTTTTAACTTTCTCTATAAATTAGTTTGGTTTTTTCACCACATTTTTTAAAACGCAAAAACCGTATGCGTGGTCATAATAAAGCTTGTAATGCACTACTTTTCTGAGGTTTGTAATATCCAAAAAAATTCAACAATCAGATTGGTGCAAAACCAAATCTATTTTGTACATGTCTAATGATTAAATTATGCATACTTATTAACATTTTATAGAAAGTGCAAACTTTATTTTCACGCAACATCAGTTGCAACAAAACTGTTTGAGATATTGACTTGTATGCATTTGCTTTGTCTACAGCAAATCAGTTAATGTTAATCACTTTAAAACACTTATTAAACTTGAATCTAATAAATAATAAAGTTAATCACTTTAAAACACTTATTAAACTTGAATCTAATAAATAATAATTAACAATAAATAAAAAATAATACTAATTCATAAACACTAATAATTAGTAAAACCAATGAAAAATACTTTTGTTTGAAATAAAACGTAAAATTTCACACAAAAAACTGATCATAAAGAAGATTTGAAGCCGGAACTCCATACAAGCATCCAATAGTCTTATTGACTGAGTTTTGTTAGCATTTTATTTTCAAAACATATATAACATAATTTTATACATCCTGCCAGGATTTAACCTCAGAATTACCTCCTGGCACCACCAACAATTAATTTATGCAATTTAAAAACTGATTTTTATTTATCTATTCAGCGTACCATTTAATTAGTATTGCCTTAGTAAGTTTTTCAATTGTTTACCAAATAATTATAGTAACAGCTCTTTAAGAAACTTTTAAAAACTAGAATGATGCATAATATATTATAAAATATAAATTTGATATATTTACACATAAATATACACACATATATATATATATATACACACACACACACACACATATATATATATATATATATATATCATTTTAATTTTTAAAAATTCTATCAAACTAATATGAAGCTAAGCTCGCTATTTTTATTTTAAAGTTAAACATTTGATATATAAAATTTTTATTTATTTTATGAACAAAAAAAATTTAAAAAAAAATTACTTCATTTTTGATCACGAGGACATTGACATTGTTCTTTTTCTGGAATTTTACTCATAACTGCATCTTTATGTTTCCCACAACCTGTAAATTATAATTAAAATAAAAAAGAATGTACCACAAATATATATATATATATATATATATATATATATATATATATATATATATATATATATATATACATATATATATATATATATATATATATATATATATATATATATATATATATATATATATATATATATATAGTACAGGCCTTTTCGGGAAGCGTGTGCGGTTGTACGCCTTGTTTGTCTATGCTTGCATTAATTTATTTACTTTATTCATTAAAAGTTTATAATTTAATTAGCGATTTTGTTGTGAAAGTAAAGATTATATCATTGTATATATTATTTATTAAAAAATAATTGCTGCACTCTACTTTTGTTATAAAAAAAAGTTTAGCTTACATTTTGTGCAAATTTTTGATTCAGTCTCGAAACACATTTATTTAAATTTTTATTTTGAGCAAAAAAAAAAATGTTTAGGAAAAAACCCTGAAAAGACAATTGCAATAAAAATGAGCTATTACTTAAGAATAAATAATATTTAAATATTAAACAATATTTAGTACTATATATATACAATATACAATACTATATACAATATTTATTTACTTTTTAAATAAACTTGACAGTTAAGTTAAACCCAAGCATAAACTTTAATAAACTTAAATATTTTTTAAACCAGAATTAATATATACATATATATATACATATATATATATATATATATATATATATATATATATATATATATATATATATATATATATATATACATTTTTTTTTTTTTTTTTAATGCAGTCAAAAGTTGCATGAATATTCTTGTACTCGCAAGATGATTAATAATAGTTTTTATTATATATATTTCTATTGTTTTTTGTTTTTTTTTACATTCCATTTAATAACTTTGTATAAAAAAAAACTGTTGTTAACTTTAAACAATTTTGTTTTCTATTACTAAATATTTGGATAAAATAGATTAAGATTTGTTAACTTCAATATGTTATCAAAAGATGTAAATATATTTCTTCTACTGATGCTATCATCAGCAATTTTATATGGTTTAAAATTGTCATTTCAAGCTGTTGGTAATTTGAAACGGACAGATAGGACATGGACTGAATTTAAAAATACACTACTTTGCAATACTCATAACTGTCATCTTGTTCCTCCAGGTTTAACAAAGTTGAAACAATACAAAAAAATGAATATCCAGGACATATTGAATATTCTAAAACCGAGGTAAAATGTAGTTTTTTCATATACACATTCATATACAGCATTCAGTTTCTTGAGAGTAAAAAAATGTTTTGGACTATGATGGACTATGAAAGAAACTTTTGGACTATGAAAGAAACCAAAGAGCAAAGAACCAGATGATTGCAGATTTGTTTATCATATTCATATGTATATATATATATATATATATGTATGTATGTGTGTATATGTATATATATATATATATATATATATATATATATATATATATATATATATATATATATATATATATATTAGTGATTTTGCCGGTTATCCGCTTTAAAAACCGGATAACAGTTCTCATCACTTTGCAGTTAACCGACTATTTGGTAAATTAGTGACGCTTTCTAAATTTCAACGAACGTAGCGTTTTAAACTAATTTTTTAAAAATTAATGTTAAAGTGTACATTTTCAAGACAGTTAGTGAATACAGTCCTATATTATATATTTATAACAAAACATGGAAAAAGATATATATATTTTTTATATTATAATATAATATACCTTTTTAATTATATAATTAAAAAAGGTAGGAATAATGTACAAGTATAGTTTAAATGTTTTAATATCAGCGGATGCTTTAAAATCATTCTCTCATATAAAAACATTTGATTCGGAAAAATGAGATGTTATGAAGTAAATTTTTTTAGCGTGTATTTTAAAAACTTATTGTTATGCGGACATAGATGGAAATATAGGTAAACTTGAATGTTCTCAAAACAACTTGTTGTGTAAAGATAATATAAAGAATATTTGCTAACACTAAAATACCGCCAAATCTATGAATAAACAAATTCTATTGGTTCAAAAAATACGCTGAATAAGCGAATTAGAGTTCCAGAATATTCTGAAGAAACTTTCTTAAAAATGTATTGCTTGAGTTGTAAAAGTAATAAATAAATCTTTGAGATTTCTAGTAAATTGTTTAAGAATATATTATTAAACAAAACTGATTAAATTAACATTTAAATTAATAAAAGAAATATATTATAATCTTTGATAAATTAACATTTGTCAAACAATAATCGTCATAATTACGATGTTACTTTCTATAAAATTTCGTAAAATTTTCAAGTCAGTTTTTATTATTCGAAAATAGATATTTGATATACGAACAAAATCCGGTTAACCGCAAAACCGGATAACCGGCGAAATCACTAATACATATATATATATACATATATATATATACATATATATATATATATATATATATATATATATATATATATATATATATATATATATTAGAAATGTGCCAAAACCAGTTAATTTAGAGTCTCTGATTCCATGTACTCAGAAGAAAATACCAGGTCCGAGTCTGGGCACTGGGCCCATTTTATAATGTTGAAACAAAAACTTGTAAAATCTCTAGCACTCTCAAAATAACACTGATTAATTTGCGCTAATTAAGTTTGCCTAAATATGTATGTATGTATGTATGTATGTATGTATGTATGTATGTATGTATGTATATATATATATATATTTATTGCTGTCTAAAAATTCCTGTAATACCAAAATATATAAATAAATAATTACATGGCCGGGGCAGAAAGAAGACAATAGTACTCTTATCACTAAGGCCTGATACAAGATTTTTTTTAATAAACTACATTTGAAGAGTCATTTCAAAAACATCATCAGTCACTTTTAGACAAAAATGAGTCAAGCACGATATCGCGTTATCTGAGGGTAGAAATATGTTTCTTTAAAAACTTACATTATTTAGACCTTTCAGTCAATGACTTATAAAGTTTTGATTAAAAGGTCTGACATCTATGTATATACATGTATAAACATGACATGTATGTATATATATACTCTCATTTTGGTTTGGTTTATTCATGGTCAACAAAATTTACAAAGTGAAGATGCCAGAGAAAGTGAAGATGCAGAGAAAGTTTGTGTTTGAAATTGTTTAAGTTCTTTTGCGTCCACCGCATTTTGGGTTAAGAAATTCCACAATTTTACAACATGATTGGTGAGGAAGTTGTTTCTTTCAGCGCAGTTTCGAACAAATTGTGCTTTGAATTGTTTAGTGTGTCCACACAGCCAAAGATACATTGAAGACTAAGTGTTTGGATAATGTTGAGGGATCTGAAAATTAACTTTGTAAATTTTGCTCATGATTTTATATTCAAAAAGGTCTACTCTTTCTCGTTGTTCAGTTAGTGTTGTCAAAAAAGGTCTACTCTTTCTCATTGTTCAGTTAGTGTTGTCACATTGATACGTCACATTGTTGTCACGCTTGATAGTCTCTGAGTATAAAGAGGATGTTTTAAGGTGGCAATATGTTTTTTGGCTTGATATTGAACTTGTTCTAGTTTGGCTTCGTCTTGAGCTAAAAACGATGACCAGATTTTTTGCTGTTGCAGCGTTTAGTGTGCATAACTTTGTACTCGTCACCATTAAATGACATAAGCAATGTGTGCGACCACTTCACTAACTTGAATCTGTTCGTTTACACTCTAGGTCACAAATTCAAATTATGTAAACTAAAATGTTAACTTGATGTCCGTAAATATTCTTACTTTCACAGGGTTGTTAATATTTGAAATTATTTGCCATCTTGTTAATGCCAAAAACATCAAGAGCTTTAAAATTAAAGTTCACTATATCAACTATCAACTATCATGAAATTACTGTTCCGGATAAATAGTTTTTGTTTTATAATTGTGGTATTATATATAATATATACTTTTTTTGAAATTTATTGCTAAATAATTGCTAATATGGGCTAATTAATCAAAAGTTATGTTATGAAAAATAAAATAATAAGATTTATATATGTATATAGTAAATATATTTAGTAAATATATATATAGATGTATACATTCATATAATAAATATATTAATATCTTTAAATAAATCTTTTATAAATTGTTTAAAATAAACATATAAGAAGTCTTACATGTTCATCAGTGATGGATCCAGAGTGGGAGAAGGTGGGAACATGCATCTTCCCTCTCCCTACCCCCCTCCTCTTCCTTGAATCTTTTAAGGAAGACTCAAAGAAGAGGGGGAGAGGGGGATTCAAGGTTTAATTACTAAAAAATCTCTTGTGAAAAAAATCTCTCACACAAAAAAAGGAATATATATATATATATATATATATATATATATATATATATATATATATATATATATATATATATATATACTTAAATATAGAAAAAACAACTTTTAATGGAACTTAAAGTTTCATGCCTATCGGCAATCATCAGCCATGAAGTACCTTCATGGCTGTACCTTTAAGTATAAAACGTACCTTTAAGTATAAAACGCTCTGTTTTTGAAAAACTAAATATTTCTTAAATGTTGAGCACTCTACAATGATCAAGAGTTTAGTATTTTTAATACTAAATCATACAACAACAATATATAATATATATATGTATATATATATATATACATATAAATATATATGTATATATATACATATAAATATATATATATATATATATACATATAAATATATATATATATATATATATATATATAATATATATATATATATATATATATATATATATATAATATATAATATATATATATATATATATATATATATATATATATATATATATATATATATATATATATATATATATATGTTAGTCCCTGTGTAATAAGGTAATAATAATATATAAAAGATCACGACCGGGAGATAATCCACAGCAAAAAAGGTGGTAGCTCTCCCTACAAGAAGTGGTCCTTTCCCATAAAAAACATATCAAAGAAGAAAGCCAAAGAATGTCAATAACCAATAA